TATATATAATATTTTCATAGTAATATTTGTTATATTATTTTCAATTTCCAAAAATTTTTTATTCAAAAAAAAACCGAAATTAGTTTATTCCTTCTAAATGATTAGTACTCTCCAATCATCTAATCAGATTTCACTTAAAGATTAAAACAAAATCTAAACAAGCTCAAACAAGTTTTGTATCATAACAATAATTACAACAATAACAATAATAACAATTAACTTATTATCAACAATTATAATAACAAACAATATTATATGTATTCTATTATCTATAACATTTAGAGAATCAAAGAAATGGGACAATGAATCTATCCAAGGGTTCTTCCATTATATGTATGAATCTTATAGTATATTTAATTTAGTTTTAGTTATAATTACTTTTATTTTTATTTTTAATTTTTATACTTGAAAAATCAAAAGAATTTACAAAATTTCTTGGAATGGTAGGCATAGCTGCTATTCAACTTTATCTAGTACATTAATATTAATTTTGAATTTTTTTTACAATATTAATTAAATATTGATAAGTAGATAAGCTAGTATTTAACTTTTCTGAAATAATGAAAATATTATTTCTTTTATAATGTATACCTTGTTATATACAATATCAAATAAAGAAATAATATTTACTTACTGAGAAAACCCCTCAAAAAAAATAAAATAAAAATTTTTAAATAAATTATTAAAATATTCTTAAATTTTTAATTTAAATTCATTAAAAAAAAATATTATTAAAAAATTATTAAAATTATCTCAATAGATAAACTTATTAAATAAGAATATATTTTATAATAAATTAATTTTTTTATAATTTTATATTAAAATCAAATTTTTTAAAATTCATTTCACAAAATAAAAAAAATTTTTTTATAAGTTGAAATTTTTTTTTTGATTTTATAATAAATTTTTTTTAAACAATTTATTTTTCAAACAAAATTTATATATAAATATATATATATAATTTGTAATCATTTAAAAAAAAATTTTTTTCAACTTTAAATTGATATTTTAAAATAAATCACTAATTCAATATGAATAAAACTTTATTATATTATTTTTTTATTATAAATAATATATATTAAAAGTATTATTTATATAATTTAAATTATTATTTATCAAATTATAAGAAAAATTAATTCTGATTTTTTTTGACCAGATTGTATATTGTAAAAAAAAAAAAATTTTTTTTCTTTTTTGTTATATTATATATCAATTGAAAATTAATATAATCAAAATTTCAAATTATATTAAAATAAATAAAATTTTCAAAAATTTTTTTAAAAAATAAGTTTATTTATTGAAAATAAAAATAATAAAAATAATAATTTGAAAACAATAATATAAAATTCTTGAAAGCAAGTATTTGTCTTTTTTAATTAATATTTCATTTTGTCCTATGTTATTTTTTTTAAAAAAATGCTCTTATAAATAATTATGTGATTATAGATAACGTAACTATAGACAAGTTAATCAAAAATATAGAATTGACATGCAAATTATAACCTAAATTAATTAGTAAATTCGAATTTCGTGACCTGTCGTAAAAACATACGAAAAGTATTTACTGTATTTATGCGGAAATTTCCGTGATCCAAGGTTTCTAAATTACTCGAGTCAATTGCCAATATCGTAAAATATACTTTACCTTATCTTACGTAATAATCTATTAACTGCATGAATACGTAATAATTATAATGTAATCATTTGAAGTTTTTTGATGATTAATTTTGCTAGTCATTTCCGGTCACTTCTGATAAATTAATAAGAGATAAGAATCCGATTTTAACGTTATTGTTGATCCTGACTGAAGGAATTTTGCTCGCATGATATACTTTCTACTACCTTTCACGGATGCTAATAATCCATTTGTTTAACTTGTTAAAAACCAAGATTTTAATCCTCGATAATTAACTTATCAGAGAGTTTAAACGAAAGCAAGATACGATATAAATAATGTTTGATGTTTACGGTATGCCAATTTGAAAATGTAAAAAAAATTATTTAACCTAAAAAATGATTAAACCACTATATCTTTTCATTGTCGATCTTTTTCTCATCATCATAATCGCACAACATACCGCCTCCCTCCCGCTGCCTCAGATTAATGGTTTCTCTAATGAACATTCCTCCAGCATTCACCGCAAACATTGTCTGTTTCCAAGGATCACAGTTTTCGGTTGTTTTCCACCGTGCTTCTTGTTATGCACACCTGTTCGACCGATGG